ATGAACTAGAAATTTAAATAAAAATATAAAACCGTTTTTCAAATGCTTAATTCTCTTTATTTTAAAAAAACTCACAAAATAACGGCTGAAATTACTCTTCAAACGTATTACTTCCTCTTAATTTTAATACTACATATAACATTCATGAAATTTAATTCAACAAGTTCATTTTTTTATTTAACTTCGACGTTAAATTCAAATTTAATTTTTGATTTCAATTTGACGATTTATAAATTTGATTTTGACGTCAAATCAAATTACATAATCGAAACCCTAGTATGCTTTTACGTATTTAACACTTGTATTTCGATGGCTGGGTGTAAAAACATGATACATCGAATTGGCGTTGAAAAACATGATACGTCGGATTAGCGTTGGAAAACATGACATATCGTCGTTTGATTTGAAAAAATGACACGTCGAAAACGAAATTTTTCTTTTCAAATTTCTGTTGGTACCACTGACCGCGAAATTTAAAATGGTTTGTTATATATTACATTTTTTAAGAATATATGATGATATTAAAATAATAGAAGTAAAATCTTGCACTATACACATATAATTTTGAATATTTTACATGAAATTCGTTTTAAATCAACGGGATTACAATACTGTATTTAAATGGTCGTCTGTATTATTAATTACTTTTACAGCTGTATGATAACGTCATGGGTGTCAAATCCTCCAGGAAATGAATAATTGGAGGATTTACTAGAAAAAATTGACCTAAGTTAATTTAATTTATTTAATAATTGTGTTTTAAAAAATATACTTTACTTACTCTCCATGCTTGACTCTTTAAACAAATATTTAAACAACACCAATCGTAATAGAATATTTACAATATAAATATTTATAATAAAATAGAATTATTTATAAAATCACAGATTTTATCAATCTAAATATAAACTTTATAAAAAGCTATTTAACCTAATTTTTCTTTAAACTGACATATTATGAAGCAAAATCATTTGTTTCATAAAACAGTTTCAAAGATTTGACACATTTTAAATTTCACGGTCAGTGGTACCAACAGAAATTTGAAAAAAAAATTTCGTTTTCGACGTGTCATGTTCTTCAAATCAAACGACGATGTATCATGTTTTCCAACGCTAATCCGACGTATCATGTTTTTCAACGCCAATTCGATGTATCATGTTTTTACACCCAGCCATCGATTTGTTCTTTCACTATTAATAAGTAAACTTATTAAATTAAATAGTTCTAGTAAACTAGTTTGTTACAAAATTTTTAATATTTAATTGTAAAAAAATAATATCGTCAACAAATTTTCGAGATAATTTCTTATTGGTCAATTTTAAACTTCACGCCGAATTATTTTTGTCAAATTGTTTTTCGACTATTTTGCACTTTATGTAAAATGAATATTCGAACAGAAAATATTATTCTTATGTTAAATAAATTATTTAACATTAAAAATAAATGATAATTTATATATAATTATTGTTTCTTTACTGTTCTGCTCCCCAAGTCTTTATTTTCCTCAGTCGCAACTTATCAAATGAATTTAGTATTTATTTTCTCATGTTAAGTTGGCGTAATGGTTAGCGTGTTAGATTACGGAGCGTTAGGTTAGGAGGTTCGATCCCAGCGAGCGTTAAATATTTTTCAAAATTTATGTAAGCGATTGCGTTAAATAATAATAGGTAGGGGTAAATATAAGGTCTCCAGTAATAAATAATTTGTTAATTGTATAATTAATTCCATATTTAATTTTTTTGTTTAGTGTTGGTGTTACTACATATTTGAAGTTGGGTCGACTTTGGGATTATTATTTGTCAGACAAGAATTGTGTATTTTTCTGTTTCTGTTTTGTTACAAGTTTTTGTTGCTTACTGATTCAATCAATTACTCATTACAACTGATTAAAAGCCTGTAGTACATTTTACACTGATTGTTATTTTTGTCACAAAATATAGGGTAATTCCCAGGAAGACTCTCATGGCCCTGTCAAGTTCATCCCTAAGTAGAGCAAATCCTTGCAAAACCGTCTGAAGCCATTACTAGGGCCTTGCCAGTTTGCCATATCAGGCCCTTGCCAGAATCCAGGCGTACTGGGAAGGACCTTGAGAGGTTCAGACCATAATTTCTGCACGGGAAATGTTTTAGGGACGTTTCTAGAACATTAATGTTTTTTGCCCTCTGGGACTTTATTCCTGGTTGAACATTATTATTAAAAAATCTAATAAAAACGGAAAAATAATAAAAGAAATTATTTTCCTATTTTTCAGGAATAAATGGATGCAAAGTGTTTTATTATATTATGTACATCCGTGTAAAGACGTTTATTACAAAAAAGGATAGAAATTCGTGTACACGGAAAGAAAGTTTGTAGCAATATTTGATATTATGGTGTTACTTTTTAGTATATTTGGTTACAATTGCGGAACATTTTGGCATGATAACGATTTTCGATACTATCTTTAAGAATGATTGAGATTAAAATAAGAATATTTAATATAGTTGGAAAGAAAATTTGATATAATATTTACGAAATCTGAAATCTTTTTATTGAAACACAAAAATGTCAAATTTTAATAAGCTCTTTATCAATTTTTCTAACCAAATATTTCAAATTTCGTAATTAGAATTGTATAAAATGATATAATTATTTCAGATTTTGATATATTTGATATGAAAATTGAAAAAGAAATATCAAAGTTAACGAGATTCGACGAAATTTGCCGAAGTTGAACGTTCGGAATTGCCCGATCCTCACCGAGTGGTAACGAAGACTGACGAAGCTCTTTAGACAAGCCCCTTTTTACCATTATCTTGATACAGACCTAAATTTCTTTTATATAATTAATTTCGAAGATTTTACAATAAATCAGTAAAAAAAATTGTTCTTCAAAAAATAATAAAATATTTAATTATTTCCCAATAAATAATGATTTTTATTTATATTTTTAAACATGTTTTGATATAATTTCACCTTTCTCATAAGCGGTGAAAAATATGTCTGGTTAGTATATAAGAATGGTCACATCAGTTTTTCACATGAGCGTAAATTTGTATATGAAGCGTTATCCTGCAAATGTTATGCGTATTATCGTTAGTATAGGTTAGGAATAAAAATAAGCCAATCGATGTAAAACAATGCGGTGTATGTGTGTGTGTGTGCATTTAAAAATTCATATCCTCGTCTATCCTCGAGATGAGAAAGAGATAAAACTTTGGCGTAGAATCTATTGGTGTTTCTGTTGTCATCTGTCACGACTGAACCACTTCGAATTTTTAGTATAGTTTTAACAAATTTCGAAATAATCTTTCCAAATTTTCATATAAATTTAGTAAATAACGAAGTGCGCGTCGGTTTAACTTACTTCTGGTTTTTCGTATAAATTTATCAATTTACGAAATAATAATTTCAATTTCTGGAATATATTTACTAAAAAGACTATTGGTAAAAATATACCGATTTTCGTTATCAAACCCAAATGTTCCGCGTTTGAAAAAGAGAATACTAAAATTTCCTATCAGATTTATCAAATATTGCTACTAAATTTCTTTCCGTGTAATAATCACCATACGCAAGAACTTTTCGAATGAGAATGTATTAGAAGCATAAGGGCACTGTCTTGCAAAATTGTTGATATTTCATTAACTAATTATTATAAAACATTGATAAATTGTTAGAAAATGTGAGGTTAGAAATGACATCACCGTTTGAATTTTTCAATAACTTCTAATTATTTTAACAAACAGTTGTTTTCGTTTTTCATCGACTTTACATACATGAAAATACTAAGAACATTTTGCAAAAAGTTGATGATAATTTGTTTAAAAATTTAATAAAATTTTTTTGTTTTGTTTTATTTTTTAAAATAAAAAGTTTTTTGGCTAAATTACTGCTTTATTTATTGCAATTCTTGTTAGAATGAACTCTACAGATTCCCATTTACCCTTTCCAAAATATTTTTTTTCATCATTTTCTATCGATTAATCACTTTTTTTATAGTGAATTGCTTTATAATGTGTACCTAATGTCAATCCAACAAGGGTAGCGTTACAGCATTTCGTAATTTCCAGAGTTTATCACTTTTAAATACATATATTTAACATTGTATATTGACACGTATTTATTCTTCCACTATACTATCAGTATAATTAAACTTATAAAATTAAATAGTTCCAGTGAGAAAGTTGGTTAATCTAATAAATATTAATTTTATCATTTCAGTTTAAGGGGGGAAACTTGTGTAAATTCATGTTTTTTCAAGATTTTTTTACAAAATAGTGGGAATGAGAAAATTTATCATATTTCAATAAGAATTGTTTCCAAAGATGGTAAATATTTTTAAATAAATAATGATTTTCGAAGAAATTCTATTTGAAATATAATAAATTTTATCAGTGGACAGATAAGTTTAAAAATCAATTTTGATAAAAAAAACAATAACCAAAAATGTGTTGTACTATTTAGATACTACTACTTAGATTCGTTATTTCCAATGAACCCAGGACATTTCGCCTAAAACACCTATAAAATATTAATTTTAAATCCCTAAACTATAAAAAAATACAAAAAAAAATTGATTTTTTTGACAGGTCACATTAGGATCCTCCCATTCGAATAAAATTTGTTAACATGAAAATTTGAACCAATGGTTTTAGAATTCTGTACCAAATATAAATTGAGTTTATTTAGTATTTTTGGAGAAATGTGTTCGAAAAATTAACCTTATAGCGATCACGTATCTTAACAATAATAATGCTATTAGTTTCATCTGTCTAAACACATTGAAATCAGTCGTAAAGCTTATATTCTATAATTTACAAAAATTTATCACAAAATCAATATTATGTACTATTCCGTTAATACAAAATGTAATTGAAATTTATAGATAAATAATGAATATTTAATTATTCAAGGAAATAATCTTATCACTGGAAAATAATAAAGAATTCATTCCCCCCCCCTCTCTCTATCTCTCTCTCCGTATATATACATAAGCAACGATGTCAAATACAATTAGTCAAAATTCAAAGTTTTAACAGTGAATTTCAACACTGCACAGAAAAGGTAAGATGTAATTTATTCTTTTACTTTAATTTTGATAAACTGTTTATAAAATTATAAATTTATTTACTGAACCCTTTTGTACACTGAGAAAAAAATACTATTGAATCAAATACTTCAATGCTATTGAATTTCCCGTTATTGATTCAACAACAATTTTATTGATTGAAAAGTATATTACATAAAATGAAAAAGCGAAATTATTTAAATCAAAAGTATGGTAATGTGAAATTAATGCCATTGTGTAAATTGATGCTATAGTTAATCTATTCATATCAACAGAATAATTTATTAATTCTTTGACAATTTTTATTTGAAGCATCTAAAAGGTAAATTTGAAGAAAATGTGTATAAGTTTGAATCATACGAAAAATTGTTTACTTCAAAGGAGCAAGCTATTGGAAACGAAAGCATATGCTTTTGTTTCAATGAATGGTGTTATTGCATTTGAGACATTGATACCCAACTTATTAAAACATTTTTAACATTTTTTATTGTCATCAAAATAATGACATGACTTATCATTTGAATTAACTAAACTTTTAATTTATTAATCGTGTACTTTTGTTGTAATAAATGGCGTCATTGCGGGCAATCTGTATAATAGATTTTTAAATGTAACTATAAAAAGATTTTTTTCCATTTTTCTAAAATTTTATTTATATATAATATAAAGTTTATAAATAAAAATTTATAAATTCATAAAAATTTTATTTTTTGATTAAGTTAAAAATTTTAAAAACCCATATAATATGTTTAGAATTATAAAAAAATTTATTTTACTATTTTATAATTTTTCGAAACATAAAATTTAAAAATATTTAATTATCAATTAAATTATATTAATATTAATAATAATATTCTTTTATCTACTTAATATGAAGAAATCTTGAGGACGATATTTGACTGTAAAGTAATCGTTGAACGCTATAAAGCTACTGTTTCATGTTGGACTTCGGTGGTACTAGTCAATCACGAAAGTTAAGCAACGTTGATCGCGGTTAGTACTTTGATGGGTGACCACTAAAGAATACACCGTCCGACAAAATTCAACTTTTTTTTCACACACGAAAAAATCAATGATTTTCAGGAACTAGGACCAAAAAAAAGATACCCGTGTCTGGCCGTTTTGCTAGATCAGGTCATTTTTTGCTTTTAGGGGTAAAAACAACCCTTAATTGAAAGGTGATAGGAAATCTTGTACAAATAAATAATTTTTTATGAAACCTGGTATCTTGGGGTTTTCCGGGTCGCTGATTACGAATCTGATGTCAGATTTTCAAAATTCAAAATGGCGGATCCAATATAGTGGTCGACATTTATAAATGTTATTATGTTATTATTATTATTATTGTTATTATTATTATGTTATTATCAGCGACCCCAAAAACCCCTAGACACCAAGTTTTATAAAAAATAATTAATATTTATAAATTTCGACCGCCATATTGGATCCGCCATTTTGAATTTTGAAAATCTGACATCAGATTCGTAATCAGCGACCCGGAAAACCCCGAGATACCAGGTTTCATAAAAAATTATTTATTTGTACAAGATATCCTATCACCTTTCAATTAAGGGTTGTTTTTACCCCTAAAAGCAAAAAATGACCTGATCTAGCAAAACGGCCAGACACGGGTATCTTTTTTTTGGTCCTAGTTTCTGAAAATCATTGATTTTTTCGTGTGTGAAAAATCGTGTCGGACGGTGATACCAAGTTTTTTCAGGCTTCAAAAAAAAAATATATTTGTGTGTTAGTGTGTGTGTATGAAAGGGTAAATTCTTTCGATTTAAATATATATAGATGTGTTGTATATGTGAGAGTGCGAAATAAAAAAATTAAATATATAGAAGTGTGAACATGAGAACTAATTATAATATATAAAAAATTTGTAAGCTTAGATTAGTTTTTTTGATTTATCGTTGTTTTCATTTAACCTCATAAGAGGATTGAGTTTACAGTATATGCTATAGATTCTATAGCATATGCTTTTAAATTTAAAAACTTTTTTCATTGACTCAAAAGCATATTCTATAGATTCGAAAGCATGTACTTTTGAATTTAAAAACTTATTTCTTTGATTCAAAAGAATATTCTGTTGACTCAATAAAAATACCTTTACATTAACATAGTTTTCTGTCAATTTAAGAAATATGCTTATGTTTCAATGACAGTCACACTATCGAATCATTAAAATCGGTGCTTTCAAAACAATGACGTATACGTTAGGCAGCCCGGTATGACACTATTCATAGAATCAAATCCATATGTCATTGATTCAACAGCATTTTTTTCTCAGTGTACTTTAATAAACTATGTTAAAATTTTAGAAAGATTTACTGTCAACCGGGGTAATTATACCATCCCGCAACTGCAAAAAGAAGTATCTTATTATAAGACACATTGGAAGCAAGTTACCAAAAGTATCTTCCTATCTATCTTATATCATAAGAAACTATAATGCATTTTAAGATGTTTTTGATAACTTAGAAGCAAGTTGTGAAAAAACATCTTAAAAAGGCGACCAAAACATCTTAAAATAAGATACTTCTTTTTGCAGTGCGGGGGCTATTATATCCATTGACACTTTTTAGTGAATACAATAGGGTCATTCCATTTTATTTCACCTATAGTCGTTGCAGCCTATTTTTAGAAAAATTTGATATTTCGTATTAATGACTTTGAATATCCGTACAATTCATTTTTGACAATTATTTTATTAAATTTTTTTTTATTTACGTTAAAATTTAGTTTTTAAGTTGTGTTGCACGGAAAATAGGTTAGTTTGACAGCTTTGGAAATTTTATAAAAAAGGACAGAAATAATTCAGTTAGTAAATTTTTTTTCATTAATATTTGTTTAAAATAGTCTAATTTACCAATGTTAATTGATAATTGTGTAACAAAAGCCAAAATACTACGTGAAAAGTAATATTTAAACTTACCTTTAAAATGTCAAAATTTGTCACATTTTAATTATATTTTAAAAGAAAGTTTATAAATATTATAAAATTTATTACTACCTAACAATAAGTACTTTCCATGTACTTTCACATGATATGTTGGCTTTTTATTTTTATAATATAGAAATATGTGAAATTTTACCTTGAATATTGAAATTTTCAGGATTTTATCAGATTTTGAACACTTATCTTCGCAGGCGATTAATGAAAAAATCCCATTTTGGTTTTAAATGTTAAGTTAAATCTTCTTTATTCATCTTATCAAAATTTGATGATGGAGAACGAGCTACTTTTTATTTTTATTCACTTTAAAAAATCCACCTTAAAATACGAATTTAAAGGTTAAAAAACAAGTAATTTTATAAAACTGAAGTTGGTTTTCTCAATATGGATTTATTTGTATGAACTTTATTTATAAAATTACTTGTTTTTTAACCTTTAAATTCGTATTTTAAGGTGGATTTTTTAAAGTGAATAAAAATAAAAAGTAGCTCGTTCTCTATCACCAAATTTTGATAAGATGAATAAAGAAGATTTAACTTAAATTTTAAAACCGAAATGGGATTTTTTCATTAATCGCCTGCGAAGATAAGTGTTCAAAATCTGATAAAATCCTGAAAAGTTCAATATTCAAGGTAAAATTTCACATATTTCTATATTATAAAAATAAAAAGCCAACATATCATGTGAAAGTACATGGAAAGTACTCATTGTTAGGTAGTAATAAATTTTATAATATTTATAAACTTTCTTGGAAAATATAAATAAAATGTGACAAATTTTGACATTTTACAGGTAAGTTTGAATATTAATTTTCAAGTAGTATTTTGGCTTTTTTAACACAATTATCAATTAACATTGGTAAATTAGACTATTTTAAACAAATATTAATGAAAAAAAATTTACTAACTGAATTATTTCTGTTCTTATTTATAAAATTTCCAAAGCTGTCAAACTAACCTATTTTCCGTTCAACTCAACTTAAAAAATAAATTTCAACGTAAATAAAAAAAAATTTCATAAAATAATTGTCAAAAATGAATTGTACGGATATTAAAAGTCATTAATACAAAATACCAAATTTTTCTGAAAATAGACCGCAACGACTATAGGTGAAATGAAATGGAATGACCCAATAATTTTTATTTTAGAATATTTTATACAATACGTGTATAAAGTCTCACTTTTGAGGCATTTCACAGCAAACGATGATGTAAACTCTACGGTGCATTTGCAAATCATTTTTAGTACTTTTATAAAACGCTAGTCTCTTTATTTCAATTTTATAACACACTAGTTTCTTTTTCATATAATTATTTGACTTCCGTAGTTATACAGTGCATCTGAGAGATTGTGTTTTCCTTGTCGCAAAAGTACTACAAATATGCCCCATGGTATAAATATTATTTTATTATTTTTGGATTAAAAATACATGCAAATAGTGTATTATAGTTTCACATAATTAAAAATGAAGGTTCATTCAAGAGAAAACTATCACTAAACATAACCTACAATTTTTTGCCTCTAAGATACCTCTAAGATATCTTCTCTTTGTGCGTCAAATATTATTTATATACATGCACAATATGTGAAAAACCAAAGTATTTTTTATTAAAATTTTAATTTATTTAATAATTAAAAATTTTACTTTTGCAGATGTATTATTTCATTCTATTATTCGGCATTCTTTTTGTGTCCTTGACTCAATCGTTTAATGTCGATGATGGTAATTATTTGAGTTTAAATAATTTTATTTTATCTTTGAATATAAAAAAATATTATATATATATGGGTGATTTTCCGCGTAGCGTAAAATTTAGTTATTGTTATTTTTAAAATTTGTTTTTATAATTTAACGAAAATTAAATTATAATCTTCAGAGTTAGTGCGCTCAAGAATTCATAATTATATTGCACAAACAAAAGAACACAAATTATATAGCACATTGAGTTAACACTTCATTGCATTGGAGTTTGAATTAATACTTTATCATCGGGGGGCGTCGATGTGCAACTTATTTCTTAAAAAAAACGAGGAACATTAAATTGTGCTCTACGCAGAGAAACACCCATATATGTATATATTTGAGAAAAATATAAGCATACCTAAATATAATATAATTGAAAAAAATAATTAAATTTCTAAATAGAGTCATGTCATTTGTTTTTAAAAACTCATTATTGCTATTTTTTCTGCATTATATTAACATATTAAAATTTCAATTGAACTATCTCAATTATCAGACTATGAGGTGGTGCCAATTCGTTACAAAAGACAAGCGAACAACGGATTAATAATTCAAATGCAGAGAAAACGTCAACGGCTTCAATTTTATTTGTATTCTACTGAAGGTTTATTAGCAGGAACAAAAACGAAAATTTATACTGCCGAGAATGCAAAGAACGGAGTACATTTTACACTAATAGTACGTATTATATATATATATATATATATATATATATATATATATCCAGATAACACACATACTAGTACGGTAGTAGTATAATACTAGTACGGCGTACTCACAGAAAAAACTTGGATTCATTTTTGTTGCAACTCATTTTCTTTTGGGTATCGAAATGAGTATGGGACAAACTTTATGTTATTCAAAATGATACTGGCTGGAACTTCAGATTTCTAAGTTGGCATCATAAGCAGAGTAATTTTGTATTTCAATTATTGTTTCTAATATTTCAACAACACCAGAAAGATTATTTTGACCAGTACGAATATTTAGAAGTTTTTAAATAAAAATTATTTATTATTATTTACGTAGATAATAATTAATTTCATAAGTTTTTAAATTTACCGCTATTATTTAAGTTGGCAGTACCGTTCCTGTTGTCAAAACACATGTTTTCATTTTTCTAACCTAAAAACATATTTCCTTTATTATTTTATTACGCGATTACAACCAATTTTTAATCAAATATATTAAGTCTAGCGTGTTATTTACTTCTTTGTAATTATTATATTTCATGTATTTGTGCAAAATTATTCTTTATTTCACAATATTTTTCCATTTTTCTTCTTCTCAAAATGAAACTTACCTGTTTCATTTTGATACTTTTACCTTAGAACTCGAAATGAGACAACCAGTTTCATTTTTGATGCGTATCAAATCGAGTATAAATTTTGTACTCAATTTGAGATCAGGTTTTTTCTGTGGCTCTGCCGTCCAAAGTGAAAAGCTACGTTCGTGCTGTATATTTCAAATGCACGGACGTATAATTTTACTTTGGACGGCAGTACTGGTACTGTACCAGCCGTGTACCTTCGCACGGTAGCAGGTACTGTACTAGTACGGCGTACCGGTATGCAATATCGGTAGAATACGAGTACTATACACGGAGAGAAAAATCATACTATATTCACATGAGCCACTGTTGCTTTTTTCACATAATACTATTTCATGTAAAAATCGTTTATCACGCACGATATTTTTTCATGAAATTTTGTGTTTATTACATGAATAAACGTTGTGTGAAATTAGAAAGACATGTATGGGTGATTCTCCGCGTAGCACACGATTTGGTGTCTGAAACTTTAAAAAAATTTTTTTTATCGAAATGTATTTATTTTAATATTTATTAAATAGTATTTTAATTATTTTCATTTATTATTGAAAAGAAAATCTGTGGGAGAACTGAAATAATAATAATAATTCATTTTTAGTTATTTATTTTTATTCAATAATGTTTTTTTTTATTTATATGATATATGTCTTTGCATATATTATATAAATATGTAACTTGTATTCTCACTTATCTTAAAATATCCGCTGTTTTATATTATTTTAATTACTTAACTTTATCAATTATATTAATTGATTATTTATTTACATTTAAACATTATTTCAAAAGAATTTTAAACTTGATGTTTAAATTTGCTTTGATGTTAAGAAAAACATATTATCACATCCTAACCTATAAATATGTTATATGTATAAGAAAAACTATAACGAAATAACATACAATTGAATTTAAAAATATATCAATATGATCAAGACCGAATTTATGAATTTTTCTCAATATAAATGTATAAAAAAGATTATAAAAGAAAAGATTTTTATGTTTTTCAATGAAATAACACCATGGCACAAAGCGGCATGTCAAAGTAAAAGAATATAAATTATAAATTTAATCTCGAATATTTAAGATAAGTACAAAAGCACAAGTTACAAACGTTAAAACTCTATTGCTGCATCATAAACCACTTTTTTCACCAACATTTATTGCACCGTTTTCAGTGACGCGTTCATATTTGACAATATTTGACAACTGTCAAAAAAGTGAGGTTGGGTTGGCATTATCAGCAAAGATTCCCAGTACGACGTACCAGTATTATACTTGTATCGTACGAGTATGTTGTGCTTCTTATTTCAGAAGTACAACGTACTGGTATTGTACTAGTACTATACTTTTATCGAGCAATCATATTTTATAACTCTAACAGTACGACATACTTTTACTGTACTAGTACCGTACTGGTACGACATATATAATTATTTTGTACTGGTATAAAACCAGTATAATACTGGTACTCCGTACTCGTAAATAACGATTAGTACGCTTGGTTATCTGGGTCTATATATATATAGACATTCGAAAACTAGGATATCAATAATCGCAATATGATTTCAGCCGATGAATCAATTAAATTTACAATTTTATCAAGATCGACGTAGTCAGTCATCAGTTACACAGAGTGTCGATAAAAATGGCAAAACCAAATTTGTAAGTATATACTCACACTCCTCCTGAACAAGTTTTCTCTATCACAGAAAATTAAAAGGCATTAAAATAAGCTGCAAGGCTTCTTATTTTAATCCATTTTGGTATTAAAATTAGCAAAATTGGATTAAAATAAGAAACGTTGCAGCTTATTTTAATGCCTTTTAATTTTCTGTTATTCTAAAACAACAAAGAGATTACAAAAATTTTCGTTTCTAGTAAAAATGCAAGGATTAAAAAATATAAGGCTTTTAACTTAAGATTAAACAGTATATCTAAAAAAGAAATTAAGAATAAACTTTTTTTATTGTTTAATAAATATATATACATAAACATAAATTTTTCTCTTATCTAGGAAAAAAAATTTTCCTTTTTCAGACTGGACACATCAATAACAACATAATTTTACGTCCCATGCCCAATCATATTCGCCAACGTCGCGATCTGTTGAATAGAAATTCATCATTTTTTGAAACTGATGCTGAAGGTTTCATAAATACTGATGATCATATAATTTATGAAAAATCTTTTAATGATTCTAGCCGTAAGTATTTTCTTTATATAAAACAATTGATTTAAGGGTATGTGGGCAAAGAACGTTTTTTTGTGATTTCAAACTTTCTCTGAAATGAAAAATGAATTCGGCTTAAAATTTTGAAGAAGTGATTTTGTTTGGTACAAAGAATCTCGTTGTTCTACTCATTTACCATAACTTAACGCAAAAATAATAAAAATAAAGCAGTACGAGATTCCTTGTACCCTAATCTATCATCCCTCAAAATTGTAGGCAAAAATCTTTTTTCATTTTAGAGTAAGATGTATACTACCAAAACACATTTTCCCATACTAGGTCACGTGGGAGGTACCTACGTACGCTTAAAGACGTATATTTTTAATTTGAATATTAATATGTAATATCCTAAAAATTCGTGGATAGTATTATTCTTATTATTATTTACAATATTTATTTTTTTTTTTAGCACATTCTTCTCCTAACGTGTTCGATGATAAATTTATGAAAATTAAGAGTGTGAACCGAAGGGATGTATCAAAAACACCAAATATAGTCTATCCAGAAATTTTGGTTTATGTTGACGAAATACTTTTCAAGTAAGTACTATTTATTTTCTTCTTTATCCCTTAAAGTACACAATTTAAAAAATTATATATACATAGATGATTTTTATACCAAAAGATACTTTAAAAGTTTATGTTTTTATCAAATTCAGTCAGTTTTTCAATAATCTTAACTCATAATATAAATTTTTTGACCACTTTTCTTGTAAAATGGGTCAGAATTTCTCATACGGATCACCTAAAATTCAGAAATTTTTTTTTTAGTCTCATTTTTTTCTCAACGGTTTCTTACACAAAATTGTGTGGGGGAATTCAAAAAAAAATTTAATTTTCTGTAGGACGTCAAGAACACTATTTTTTAATAACATTTTATAAATAAATAATATAAAAATCTATTAAATATGAAATTTATTCAAAATAAAAATTATATTTAGAAACTACATTTTAAGACGAGAAAATATTTGTGAAAAAATTAATTTTTTATTAAAAATATTGCAAAAAATAATGAATTATTTTAATAAAAATATTGTTGAAAATAATTAATTTCTGATTTAAACCAATATTATTGATTACAACTAGCTAAAAGAAACGCGCGTGGTATCTATAATTTTTTATAAAAAATTAAAAATTTATTTTTATTTGACGGACAGTTATTAGAATTTTGATCTCACAAAAATAATAATATTATTTTTGTAATGATTACTGTATTACTATTTCAACCTTATGCTGTTATAATAATGTAATACCTATTATTGCACAGTAAATATGACCTTTAAATTTTGTACTCAAATAAAGATTATATGCTACGATCATCGAATTGTCAGCAATACATTTAATTGACCCATCTCAGGATCCATGCAGGGTGAAGTCCTATTTTGTTTACTACAAGGCCCATATGAACTTAAAATTGCTTTACAATGTTAGAAAGTTCTGGATTCTTTATTTCGTCTGTGATTTCAGCACATATCATTTTATTTAAAGTTTCTGAATCGCAAATTTGTGTACGTAAACATATAGTTAAACGCACATGTGGCAATCCACGCTTTTTTCTTCTCTATGAAAGACGATACATATAAAATTGTAAATGAATAAAATTACGATTTATGAAAAGACAATTCCAATGATTCTCTACAAATCGAAATCCTAATATTAGACATTATAACTGCCGGAAAATGATTTAATTAATTGTTTTTAAAAAATGATATCAAATGCTTGCTCATTATATTATTATCAGTTTCATAAATTAATCTTTTAATTTACAGCAAATGCTATTTCATATACTTCACACTTAACTGTATCAATCGGCTGTTGATCAACACCTACAAAAAATTCTGTTGGTTTAAAAGGGAAAAATCTAATTAAATATTCTATTTGATGAATATTCAAACACCCTGCATTAAGGCTTTAAAAAATAGTCTTAATAAATAATAAATAGCCTTAAAAAAATATTACTCCATCGTAATAAACACAAATCCAATGACCAGAATTGTTATTACCGCTAAAAACTATTTGAATATGTTTATCTCTTTCTCCAATTGGAATAATTAAATCAAGCATTTGTAAATACAAAGTACTTTGCATAATGAAAAAAGAATTTGAATCATTTTTTAATAATTCTTGAAATTTATACATATGCATATCATTTAACATTTCATTTACATTTTCAATATTCTTAAAATCTTTATTACTTAAAATAAAATACTCTTTTATGTTCGACATGGTATCCTTCTTGAATTTTTAAACTGTCGATAAAGTTAATTTTCAAAAGTAATCGTTTATTTTAGTTTCTTGCTTTCAAAAAATTTACTTACATGTGTTTCACCTATAAAATATTTCATTAACTATAATTCAGCTAACTAATGCAACAATGATAGTCTTTTATGTACGTGAATTAGCGTTGTTTAATCTTTTTCCACATTACATCATTTTCGATAATGATTATTATTTAACTTATTTTCCTCTGCACTTTTTATTATTATTCAAATCAATATTCGACTCACAAACTATTATTTAACCCATAAAACAACTTCAACCCTTAAAACAATATTCAACCCTCTTTCTTTCTATTTAAATACTTTTCCAAAAGCCAGCATCCACTATTATCAGTCAATTTTTTTTCAATATCGAAATATATTCAAAACCAATGTTATCCAATATCATATTTTATTATCCTCAAAATCTAAATATCTTTAATACCAATCTTATCCAATACCAAAAAATTTTTCCAAAAACCAACTTCCACTATATTCAAATTCCTCTTCAGGTAGAAACCTTCGAAAACCCTAATTATCAAAGTAAAGATATATATGTATATATAATCTAATAATAATGAGAAAATTCAAGTACTAAGAAAATGTGAATGAATGAAGGAATGAATACAAAGATTATTATTCTATAATAATATTACTTTTTTTGATAACATAATACATCTTTTTCACCAATATTTCCGTTTAGCAAGTAAGAGTTTTGCTTTTTATAAAAACGATTCAGAAAAAATTTAAAGAAAGAAAATAGATGAGTGCTGCCATCTACCTTCTAAAAAGCTCGGCTATATTGATTTTATCGACAAATTTTTTCTCATGCATTTTAGGTTATGTTTATAAGCTGTCACTTTTTAATTATCGAATTGCACATTGTCATTGATTTTCTGTTATTTTCATTTTCAAATTAAATAGTGAAATGGTCTCCCCAATTGTACTATTACCAAAATATCTGAAAAAAATTCGTTTAATTTTTATTCGATTCAATTCGGCCATGATTGATATAAATTGATTAAATTTTTGCATCAAAAAATGAGACCGTTTCGTGTATCATTTCTAAAAATGATACAGAAAACGATCTCTTTTTGATATAACTTATGTGCATCAAAATGATGCAAAGATTTGATGCAATTTCTGGTCTCTATTTGATACTTTTGGGAAAACTGTGTTAATGATTCAGTATTTTTTTTCTTTTTAACCGGACGTGCTAGAAACTTCTATATATAGGCTTAAATTAAACCTTAAATCATACACTTTAAAACCCATATACGCAAGATAAAAAAAATTTGAATTTTGAAAAAATGGGGGTAGAGCCCTACATAGAAATTTCTAGCACGTCGGGTTAAGAAAAAAATACTGAAAACCCTCAAAAGCACGGTTTATACTCAAAATCCTGACGTGATACACAATTTTGTAACTCGGAATCGTGTTTAGCATACAAAAATACACTTGAAACCACTCCGAAATCTAAAAAAATTCTTGTGTAATTACTTATATTTATTAATCTATTTTTTGTAATTGCAGAAAATTTAATTATAATGTGCAGAAAGCGGTTGAATATACATTAAGTTACTGGAATGGAGTTGATTTAAGATACAGACAATTTCAAAATCCAAAGATTCGCCTCTATGTTACCGGAATAGTATTAATTAAGGTAGGTTGTATATATTTGGAAAAAAATTTATTTGAATCATATAGTCAATTACGATCGTAAATAATCAATATTCATTTTCATCAAATATTAATATATTTGTGTCAATTAAATGATATTTGTGTTAAATAAAAAAAAATATTGTTTTGAATAAAATTTAATTGATTCAAATAAAAAAAGAATTTTTTTCAGTAATTATAATGAAAAATTTCCTAAAATTTATTGAAAAAATTTGTATGTTAAAGAATGCACTACCATTTACTACGCCAGCTTTATGTAACAACGGAATGTATGAGGCAGAATTAATTTTAGACAAATTTGGTAAATTTTTATATCACGACAATATCATTCAACGAATCAAGGATTATGATATATCCATGTATATGACTGGAAGAAAAATTTATTCAAAGAGGGAACATAGAGATACTAAAGGTATACTAGGGATGAGTAATTTAACCACGAAGTATTGTTAGGTTTTTTCAAAATTGTCGAAGAGGGAGGGGATTGAATTTTTTTTGGAAAAATTTAAACTTGTAGGTAACTTTTAAACAGAAAGAAAATTAAAAATTTGTCCTATATGTTTTCGAAAGGTTTTTTACTGCTCTTTCAAATGGTGCAAAAAAATTTTCAAAAAATTCAAATTTTGACCCTTTTTCTTGAAAATTAAACACTTTTTCGAATTTTTTTTTAAGTTCGGTCCTTTTAATTTTTTTTTTTTTTGAAAGCAAAAAAAAAATTTTGGCAGGTATGTTTTTTGAAGGTTTTTTCATGCTCTTTCCAATGTTGAATTTCGTTTTTAAAAATTTTTGAATTTTGACCTTGATTTTCTCTAATTAAATATAAATTTGCTATTTTCACTAAAACCGATGGGATTTTTTTTAAAATAAATAATTGCAAACGAAAGCTGAGGTTTTTTTTTAAAAAAAATTTAACTATGACATTTTAAATTTAGTAAATATATTTTTTTCGCCATTGACATGAATAAGTGTCTTTTTTGTGCCTGTTTTGGGCAGATAAGTTGAACTTTTTAAGGCAGTTTGGGCCAACTGCCTAAAAAAGACTTTTTTAGGCAGTTGTTAATTTTTGCGTAATTTTTGTTTTGTTTTAATTTTATTTATCAATTTTTATTATTTTATTTTATATATATTATATTATATTATATATCATATATTATATATTATATATCACTTTTTCATAACAATGGCGAAAAAAATAGCGTATATCTGCAATTGCATCTCCGATTTTTTTGAGATTTTTTTTTTTTTAGTACTAATTGAGACTAGCTTCCATGAATTTTTTCAAATTTTTTCACCAAGCCGTTTTCGAGTTATGGAATTTTGAAAATTGAAGAATTTTCATGTTTTTTAATTTTGAATGCTCACAACTTCCTGAAAAATGCATCAATTTTTAAAATCTTTTTTTTTAAATGTGTGTTTTTAAACGTACTTTTCAAAAAAAAAATCGAAAAATTTTTTTTAAACTATATTACTATCAAATTTTTGAGTTTTAATGATAAAAAGTCATTTTTATCACTTGACGTACTGATCGATTTTTATAAAAAAATTTTCAAAAAAACTACTTCTTTTTAGGAAACTTTTAAGCCTAGCCCGATAATAGGCAAACAATTTTTACAAAATTTTTGAAAAAAAATCAATCAGTATGTCAAATGAGAAAAATGACTTTTTATCATTAAAACTCAAAAAATTGATAGTAATATAGTTTAAAAAAAATTTTTCGATTTTTTTTTTAAAAGTACGTTTAAAAACACACATTTTAAAAAAAAGGATTTTTAAAATTGATGCATTTTTCAGGAAGTTGTGAGCATTCAAAAATTAAAAAACATGAAAATTCTTCAATTTTCAAAATTCCATAACTCGAAAACGGCTTGGTGAAAAAATTTGAAAAAATTCATGGAAGCTAGTCTCAATTAGTACTAAAAGAAAAAAAATCTCAAAAAAATCGGAGATGCAATTGCAGATGAACTTACACTTTGGCGTGGAATACATCATATATATATATAAATAAATAACTATATAACGTTTTATTACAGGTGTGTCAAATTTAGCAAAACCATGTTATGAGAGGCTTGAAAAATACTATTCTGCTGCAGTAATTTTCGATGATAATAGTTATAAATCCATTATATCTAGTTCTCACGAATTAGGTCACATGTAAGAACCACATATTTTTTTTCATTTATTTTACCGATGATGATTTGACATTTGAAAAATTAATATAGGAGTCTGTATTTATTATACAGACGCAGAATTTTGAGCGTGGCGCAATGTCTTTTTTAATTAAATTAAATACATTTTATAAGATTTTTATTTAGTATTTATTTTGTACTTAAACGCGTACTGAAAAAAGAAATTTTTTTTATTCAAATACTTGATTACTTGACTATTATCAAATAAATATTTACTTTAACAAAATAATTTTTATTTGAAATAAATAAATTGTATTTGAAACATTCATTTTTGTATTTGAAACAAATATCATTTAATTGACAAAAATAATTATTATTTGATACAAATAACTATATATATATATATATATATATGTGCCATTCCAGGAGTTTTTTAGCACTTTTCGGAGTAACCTTTCCAAATTAAATGAAACATTTTTTTAATAATATTTATTAATATAAAGGTCCAAAAAAATCACTTTTTAAGTAAAAACAATTGTTTATTTAAAAAATACAACAATAAATAATGCAAAAAATTCACTTTTTTCCTGCAATTCCAAATAAATTGGTTCAAAGATAAAAATTTTCCTTATTTTTCAAGCTTTAATACCGCACAAGAAACATAGAGTCCGAGAAAATATTCAACTCACAATTTTTTAAACAATGTTTGTTTACTTTTTTGTATTTTATTTACTGTGAAACGTCTGCTAAAGCTGCGCGCGACGTTTGGAAGTTGTCGCTTTTCTTATTGAGCAGAAGCTCATTATACTAGCGTAGTAGAAAGCATGTTGTGCGATAAGTGAGGTTATGTTGTCATTAAACGAAACGTAAAAATTTCTGGTTATCACATTGAATGGTTTTTAATTATCTACTTTGTAGTAAAAAATCATAAAAAACATTTTTGAAGGATGAAAAACCTCACTTTTCACACAACATGTTTTTTACTACGCTAGTGTAATGAGCTTCTGCTCAATAAGGAAAGCGACAACTTCCAAACGTCGCGCGCAGCTTTAGCAGACGTTTCACAGTAAATAAAATACAAAAAAGTAAACAAACATTGTTTAAAAAATTGTGAGTTGAATATTTTCTCGGACTCTATGTTTCTTGTGCGGTATTAAAGCTTGAAAAATAAGGAAAATTTTGATCTTTAAACCAATTTATTTGGAGTTGCAGGAAAAAAGTGAATTTTTTGCATTATTTATTGTTGTATTTTTTAAATAAACAATTGTTTTTACTTAAAAAGTGATTTTTTTGGACCTTTATATTAATAAATATTATTAAAAAAATGTTTCATTTAATTTGGAAAGGTTACTCCGAAAAGTGCTAAAAAACTCCTGGAATGGCACATATATGTGACTAATAATCAAGTATATTAATAATACAATAATAATACAATAATAATACATATATTAATTCTTTAAAATAAGAAACCTAACTCCTCAATATGAGAAAACTCTTTGAGGTTAATATTAAAATAATATAAAAATAATTAAAAATTCTTTTTTCAAACGTAAGCACAGCTTTTTCTAAATTTTTAATATAATCATAAACAAATTACTGATTT